GATTGTTGTTTGTTTTTGAATAATAGTACCTCAAGAGGACCACATTTGCTTATGACTCCATGAATAACTACCCAACAAAAATTTACATCATTTTATTTTGATACCCTCTAAGGTAAGTCTTTTTTAAATATTTTTTATCAAAAATTCTATTAATTAGTTATTAAATCAACAAAGGGAGGGTTGAATAAGAAATGTTAATACGAAACGAATTGGTTATGATGTCAAACTTGTTGGCAAGGGGTTACATCACGTTTTTTCTCAAATTTGGGGTCGGTTCGAAAATCGAAACTTTTTTGATGATTTTTATTGAATATCTCGGGTAAATGCTGTCCAATTTTGAAATGTTATACCTTTTTGAATTCGAAGGGATCCCTACTATCAATCTGCATTCAAACATTTTGTAAAATCGATGGATTAAAAAAAGTGGTTGACCTAAAACCGATTTGTTTGTAAAGTCAACCTTTTTTGATGATTTTTTTGAATATCTTGGCCAAATAGTGTTCGATTTGGGAATTTTCTACCATTTTGGACTCCTAAGGATCAGTACTATCGATTGGCATCCACAGATCCAGATATTCAAAAAAAAAACATCAAAAAAGTTTCGATTTTCGAACCAGCCCCGATTTTGAGGAAAAGCGTGATGTAACCCCTTGCCAACAAGTTTGACATCATAACCAATTCGTTTCGTATTAACATTTCTTATTCAACCCTCCCTTTGTTGATTTAATAACTAATTAATAGAATTTTTGATAAAAAATATTTAAAAAAGACTTACCTTAGAGGGTATCAAAATAAAATGATGTAAATTTTTGTTGGGTAGTTATTCATGGAGTCATAAGCAAATGTGGTCCTCTTGAGGTACTATTATTCAAAAACAAACAACAATCGTTTGGGAAACTTTCAGTATCTGTCGCAGACTATTTACAGGGCCAAAAGCTGGCAAGGCCAAAGCTCAGGGGGGCGCCGCAACAGTCAACTGCTAAAAATCCGCTTCGAATTTACTGAAAAGCCGCTCGGGCTGCGTCTGTTGTTAGACAAATCGCGTTGCACGGTAATTAAATCAATCATACGCCGTGTATTGGCAGCAAGGCGAGCAACTCGCCGTGGCAAGCGATCCGAAGTAGCTGCGAAAAGTGGCAACAACAAGTTGGCCAAGACCGAAACGCCCACGCAGACACCTGCAAATACTAACGCGTCGGCGCTTAGCATAAATGAATATTTATAATTCTGCGTGTCTTGGCCCGAGTCCCTGCCACATGCCACGACGGCGACTTGGCTGCGGCGTCGACAGAGCCGCAAAGTGCTTTCGAGAGTGCAAAAATATTTTTTTATGAATATTTATTTGCGTTTGAAATCGAAGTTATGCATTTGCTGCTGCTGCTGCCGCCTCTTCAACTGAGCCCCGCCCCTTTGTTGATGTTCTTCGCGTTGTTGCTGAGGTCGTCAAAGTTTTGGCCCTTTGCGAGCTCTGCGAAAGGTGCGTAAGACAATTTAATTTATTTGACGCATTAAAGCAAAAATATTAACGCTATAAATCAATAAAAATCATGCCGCAGAGTGCAAACAGTGGAAAGTCGGAAAATGCGGGGGGTGCGCAGCAGAAGTTTCTTTTCTTTGCGAAATATTTTATTTTTATTTAAGTATGCTGCAAACTTCGTTGCGCCGCTTTTGCCTTTTGAGCAGCCAGCAACAGCTTCTATTAATTTATGTGCCATTTGGAGAACCTTTCCCCCAATACCTCACCCCTGCCCGGACCCATTCACAACTGCCCTTTGTACAGGCCGTGGAGCATTTTTATGACAGCTGCAAAGTTATGACAGTCAAAGTTGCTTTATGTTATGGGTCTTATGGGCATTGCACCTAATATTCGTATACCTGATACTAATTCACGAGTCAGCAAAACAAATGTATGCCTCGATCTACAGCTGGCTAGGCATAACATTGAAGAGGGAACCAGAGTAGGAAATCGGAGTTCTAATACTTTCCTTTTTTTTGTGATAATTTAATAAATATTTGAAACTAACCATTTGACAACTTTGTTGCCCGCGCGCTGTCTTATTATTTCCGGCTCGCATTCTGCTAGCCCTTCCAGCTCTTTGCCTTGCAAGAAGTCCATTTATTGGCCTGCGACTGTGAGCCAAGTGTGCGGAGGAGCTGCAGAGGACCTGCACGTGAAGAGTCCTGCAGTAAGAATGAAGTTAAATGCCATTGACCCAAAGATGTTGTTGTTGCTGCTGCTGCTGCAGCTGCTGTTGCCAGGATGTTTGGTATCCCTAGCAGCCATGGTCAGGACTTTCTTTTTCCCCCATTTGCCTTCTAAATTTGCATATGTATGACTAAAGAACTTTGTGTGTGTGTGTGTGTGTGAATGTCCTTTGACTCCCGGCAGCACCTTTGTGAGGGCTTCAAGAGCTGCAGCTGAATGCTTAAATTTGCAATAATAAATTCCACAATTCCATTTGAAAGAGAGCTTAACAATTTTAACAAAATTAATGCACATCACAATTTAAACTCTTTTGTATGCATAAAATTTAATTATTACTGCAGAAATTACAAGCAAAATTAATTATGGCGCTCGCTTTATATACTTCGCAGTTCCGCAGTTCACAATGTCATCTGAGAGAGCCTATTTGTGTGCATCCAATAGATAAAGTCATATATCATGCATTATATATATATATATATTTAAAGCCCACAACAAATGCGGTCCAATACTCACGTTGTTGTTGTTGCTGCGACAGTTGGCTTTTCGGTTTGTTGGTTCATTAAATATTGTGATAATTTTTCATATTTATTTACATGTGGTTTTCCCACTGACAGAACGAATTTACATATCATTTCATTAAATTTGTTACCATTTTATTCTCGCATTTTATAGCTATTAATTGTGCGATTCGTAAAGAAAAACAGAAAGCGTGGGCAACATATTAAGGAAGGTCTCGCATAGAAATTCTTACTTTCTCCCGCTGGCAGCTGCTCAACGGTGCGTATGATTGATGTGACGCCCACGGCAATTGCCAGTTGCTTAAAATGTGTGGGGAAAGGAGCCTTAAGAGGAATGTAAAGGATTATTTACTTATTTGAAATTGAATAAAGTTAACTGTGCCAAACTCTCACATTTCTTTTTTAAGCTTAATTTCGCTCATAAATTATAATTCCATTTAGTAGAAAAACATGAACCTTGCAAAATTTCAAATGCAATTGCGCCAAATAAAAACCCCTTATTTTAACAGCAAGTGCCAAAAGCTTTATGTTAACCAATAAACGATACGCTGTGGCAATGAAACAACTGCATTTTTGAGCGAGAGAACAGAGCGTAGTCTCTCTTTAGTGGGACACCCACGCTCTGTGGCTGAGTCTTTTGGGCGCGCGCTCACGCATGCGCATTGGGGGCTGTGGCAGGCGTAGTTCAGGCGTTGGCCACTGGATGGCGCGCCAGAAGCTTGAACAAGAAGTTGAAATTTTTTTTAGTTATGATTTGCACTTCAGACCGAACGCACGTCGTTTTGATCGCGCGCGCCTCTGGCTCTCAAACTGAACCAGAACCAAAGACCGAAACCGAAACCGAAACCAAAAACCCAACGACTGACAAGTCACACGCACGCACACACACACAACCACACACACACACACACACCCATGCACACGCACACATGCATTTGGATGGACAAGTGTCGTGTGCGGGCACTAAAAGTTATTTCGTGTTAGTTTTGCGCGTTCCATAAAAAATACAAAAAAAAAAAAAAAATTGAAGCATTAAATTAAATAAAAGAAAACTGAAAACAAAGTGCAAGTTTTAAGTGTGATTGAATAAATTGTAAAAAACAAATTTAAAATATATATAAAAAAATAATATAAATAGCTGCAATTTGCGTGCTACAAACATTTGTCAAGCATTTTGTTTGTGTTGTTGTTGTTGTTGTAGCTTAGCTAGAAACTTGGGAACTGCTGCGGTTGCGGTTAATTAAAATTGAAAAAAAAAAGTTAAAATTGTGAACTGCTAAAACGAATTTTCTTTTTGTTTTATATATTTTAGTTTGTTGTTCATTAAAATAACAATAGAGTCAAATATTGTAATTTTAATTATCTACATGCTTTGGCCGCATAATTGCCGCACAGTTTTTATGCCACTCACCAATTTAACTTAATTATGTTTACCGCTCTTCCCGTGGATTCCCGCCTCCCTATTGCCTATTCCTAGGCAGGGTTTGAGTCTTGGCTGTCGCTGCTCTGCTCTGTCTCTGTCGCGCGCATAAACATGCTGCTGCATATTTTTAGGCGCGCGCTCGAAACAATGACGCCGCGTTTATTTTAATAACGGCACTTGTCTGCTGCCTGGCTTTGTTGTTGTTGTTGTTGTTATTATTATTATTTGTTATTGTTGTCGCTGCTGCTTTATTATCTCTGCTCGAGTTTTCGCTTCGCCATTTTTGTTGCTGTTGTTGCTGTCGCTGCTTTCGGCCATTGTTGTGCAAACAACCAACTGACAACGACAACAACAACATTTTCAACATTGTTTTCGAGTGTGTGTGCAAAAAGTGTGTAAAAAATTTGTCAAGATTTATTTATTATGTGTGTTGATGTCATGAAACACACGCTGTTGTTGTTGTTATTGTTGTTGTTGTTTCTGGTGAATTATACATTGTTTGTTTTTTACGATAAAAAAATATCTGCCTGCCTGATTGAACATCTAAACAGGATTTCTATTGTTATAATATTTAATAAACATGTTATATTTATATATATTTTTTGTGTGTTACTTGATCATTTTTTAATTGGGAATATGAAAATAAAAATTTATTGCACATAGAAGAAATAAGATAAAAGATGGGTTATGTTTCCATACTCCAACACAAAAAGTTGTTTTAATACAACTTTTATATAGATGGCCGATTGTTCATATATGAGCTTACAAAGAAAGAACTTTAGATAGATACATGGCTAGAAAATGCCCTGATAATAATATATAGAGGAAATAGAAGAAATAAAGGCATAGTCTTATCAACTTTCGTAATCTGTTATTATTTTTAATTATTTAAAATGTTAATTTTTATAGTGATCATACTTGCACCAGAGAAAGAATTCTAGATAGATGGATATATGTTGGTTTATAGAAAATTAAATAAACTTTACCCAATGCTATTCAAATCTGTTGGCTAGACGAATCTACCCTTCCAAATGAACCTTTCTTCCTCCTATATTCCCCACTTCCTCTAGTTAGTTCCCATTCCTCAGCTATCTGATTCGACTACTTGCTCTAATCAAACTTTAAATTATTTATTATGTTTTTACAACATTATTTTTATGTTAGTCGAACAATTATTGTAAATAGTTTTAATTTAAAGACATTAAAGTGGCGTGCAAGCGTACCAAAAGTTATAAATAAATTACAATAAAGGTTAAATAGGCTGCGTTGCGTATTTATAGGCCAAGTCAAGTCCCCGCGGGGAGAGCAGACATTTGCCGCTAATCAAGTTTGATGGCCATTCGAGCAACTGCATTGTGGCCCATGTGGGTCAGCGGAGCGAGTGGCATTATTATTATTATAGCGGAGGAGCATTGACTGCGACAACGACGACAACTTGGCCCAAAACAAGGACTCTCAATTGGCTTGTTGTAAGCGTTGCCAGTTGCCCGTAAATCAAATGCTAGGCACAACAACCGAGGGGTGGTTATTTTGAATTTATGTTGCATGCGCCTCAATAGTCTCCGGCTGAGAATGGGCTCCGGTCCGGGCCGGGCGACTGCCGTAATTAATCTTTGGCCAAAATGCTGCAAAATTTATGTCTTTAACTTGGCGCGTTTTGTGTCTGCATTTTGGGCGCCCGCTTAATAGTTTCGCTCGTTTGCCCCTTTTTCACTTTTTCCCTTTTATTTTCTTTGCCGTATTTTTTTTTTTCGCGCGCCCGATTAAAAGTGATTAATTGCCCGGCAGTAAAAACAAGAAGAACAACAACAGCAACCGCCGCAACTTAATGTCTAAATTAAATAAGTGAATTCTCGCAACACACAGAAATTAATAAACACATCGCTGTGTTTGTGTGCGTGGGCGAGCCCTGAAGCCCTGGACGCTGCCCGCAGCGCATAAATAAACACACACAAGTACAAATACATCGAGGCGAATTCCCCAAGAGAACAGAAAACAGACACCCTCCCATTCCTTCCGCCGCAAGTGAAAGTGTTTTAACGGCCAGAATGTACGCGCTGGAGCCCTACACTCACTCTCACAGTCACAGTCACAGTCACGGTCAGAGCCAGAGTCACACGGCCAGTCACAGGCTGAGTCACAGGCACAGTCACGGACACGGACACAGTCCGCACCACCGACAACACCAGCAGCAACAGGAGCAGCAACAGGATCACAGCCACCAGCAGAAGCAGCAGCAGCAGCAGCAAAGCCACAAGCAACAGGCTGGCCAAGATGTTGTTGGCCTGGCCAAGAGAACAACTGCGGCAGTTAAAGCCAGGCATCTGCAGCTTTGGCATATTCTACATGTGATATTAGTGCTAATCGGTAAGTGCGTCGCCCTTTTTTTTTTTTTTATAATTATTTCAAATGGCTTGCAATTAATTCTCCCAGCCAAACCCAAACCGACCCAAACAGCCAAAATTGCGTTTAAATGTTGCCAAAAGTTGGCAAATATTTGCGCAAATTGAGATGAAAATGTTTGCTCATTTATGTAAAGTGCGTGTGCGAGTGTGCGTATGTGTGTGTGTGTGTGTGCGTCTCTCTGTGTGTGTTTAGGGTATTGCGGGCTCAGTGCACAAATACATGCTGAAATTCAAAGGCTGCGGGGCACAAGCTGAGCCTGATATGCTAGCAAACCATATCGCAAGCATCTAGTCAATCATTTTGAATATATCTCAGTTAATGTTATTCGGTTAAACAAATTGTGGAGTCGAGATTTCAAATAATTATAATATACCAATTCAACAAATCAAATATCAGACAGAGCTTTAGCTTGGGGTCCTTTTTAGATAGTTGTCCAAGGGATCCAGTCATTCATTGAAACGATATCTCATGAATGAATGCTGTCTTAGCCTTAACAATAAAATTAAAATAAAAGTTATATGGATGGCAAGAGTACAATAAAATAGATTATGGTAAATAAAAAGTATCCCATGTCCTTAACTAGTTGAGAATCGTTAGAAAAATTAGCTAGCGCCCAGCTAGAATTTTTCGTAACATGGGTCAAAGTTATCTTTTATATTTATTTATTAATATGTACTATAATTATAAAAAAAGTATGCCATGGCTTTAACCAGTTGAGAATCATAAGAACAACTGGCTAAAGTCTAGCTACATTTGTTCATAATATGGGTTAAAGTTATCTTTTATATATTTTAATAGTATAAATGCACTTCTTTGAACTTCTAAGCTCCTGAAAGCTATTTTGTCTTTCTGAAGTTTATAATAATTGCATAAATTAGTAAAATAATAAAAAATAATTAACTGAATGAAGTTTATTCAATCGCATTTTGCGACTCTTAATAGGAAATTCGACAGCAAGTCGAAAAGAGGATTATTCAGCAACAAAATAATAATAATTGCGTTGATTTAAATAAATGATTTGGCAATGGAAAATGCAAACGTGATTATTAATAATGAATTCATTCAGAGAAACAAGAAAAGTCAGAAATAAATGAAGTAAATGTATTTAAGACAAAAATTATAAATGAAAAGGCAAAACACCTAAGAAATAAATGCATATAATGAAGCTCTAAAATACTTCAAAGTACTCGGCATAATTAAGAGCTTCCTTTTGGGCAATTCTTTGAAATGTTAATCCTTATTCAGACATTCAGCGGAAGGAAGCCTTGAAATGATACAAAGCCTCAATTAAAATTAAAATTTCGGCCAGAAAAATGTTGATATGTGCGCAGAAAATGTTTGCAAAACTGACAGAGCAGAACTTGACAAGGACGTGCTCTAGCTTGCTAAAACGAAAAATCATCTCTGCCCGCAGAAAAAATAAAAATAAAAGTCAATAAAAAACAATCAACAAATTGAAAGCAAAGTTCAAATAATCGAACAGCGGCAACTGGTACTTAAGTAATTTTCTGGCTAAGGAAAAGCAAACAACAAAACAAATTACGATACGCACGCTGCATAGAAATTAATAAATTGCCTGAAGATGGACGATTCCCCAACTTGACTTGTTTCGTTGGAGAACTGAAGTGAGGGAGAGGTGGAGAGGGGGGTTAAACAGAGCATTTTGCCAGCTTAACTTTGTTGCTGTTATTCTGTCACTGGCAAAGCGCAAAAAAGTTAAGTTGACATTTCCGCACACGGCGGGAGAGAGAGAGAGAGAGAGAGAGACGAGAGGAAATACAAGTCACGATGTTTGCTGGCGAGGTGTGCGGGGAGGCTGCCGAGGGGGACAGGGGGAAACATTAAAGCCATTGAAGAGCGTTCGCTTTCATTATTTTTAAATCATATCACAAGCAAGAGGGAGGTAGAGAGAGAGGGAGGAAGCGGCGCTAACGGAAACGGATATGAAACCAAGTGATGTTTGTCAGTGTGTGGGTGTGGGTGCTTTGTGTGTGTGTGTGTGTGTGTGTGTGTGTGTGTGGGTGTGTGGGCTTAATTCAACGTCTCATTTGCATACATTAAAATGTCACATTTTACATGCCGTTTGTGCGTCGCTCGCCCTAAGCCAAAACGGTTGCCCGTCAGTTAACGTTAAGAAGCCTCCGCCTGTTACACATAAACTACATTAGCAATTGCGCCAGTCAGCGCCAGCTCCACAGCCCCGCCCCATCCCAGCCCAGCCCATCCCAGTCAGGAGCCTGGGCGGCGGACTGGCATCTGTGGCCCACCCACCCATCCACGCAGTCAGGCAGAGTCGGCGGCATTGCGGCCATGTAAAAATGGCTTAACGCGAAAATCTTTCAACTAAACATTAATCCTAATGGTTTTCAATTTTTTCATTCTTCTTATTTGTTGCGGCTGCTGCTGAAGTCCGCCCGTCTGTGGCAAGTCCTCGCACCACCAGCCGTGCCACAATTCCTGTTTTGCATGTAAATACGCTCTTTGATATTGCGACGCTTTTCGCCTGCAGCCTGATTGCCTCCGACAGGGCACACCCGTCCCTCCCTCCCTTCCCTCCCAGACCAGCCCCACCAAATTGACGGACTCAAATATGAATTTTAGCGAAATGCGAAAAGGCCAACTCACATAACTGCGGCCTACTCCCATTAGGCAGCCTCATTAATCAGAGAAGCAAAAAAAAAAAAGAAAAAAATCAAATAATGCCCTTGACTTACTTAGTTAGCCGGCTGCTCATCTATGCGCCTCGGTGGGCTAATTTCAACTGACATGCCAGCCAGCTGGGCTTTTCAATATTATAAAGCTAAACGAATTGCATGACCATGGGCACATCCTCAATAAATAAAAACATTTACATGCAAATTATGCTTAAAGTCATAATTTCATGGATTATTTTAAAATATATATCAATTTTTAAATTATTTAAAATTACTTATTATTTATATGTTCAGCGGTGTCTTGCTAATCATAGTTTATTCTTGCATATTTAACTAAAATGTATTTATTTTTGTTTATTATATTTTTACGCTAACCCTGTGGCATAATAGTAATAAGAACATAAATGATACCTTTCATTATTTTGATTTATTCCAATCAAAGTCGGAAACTCCGTAAGCGTTAAATATTTACATTAACGCATTTTAAATCAACTGAAATGTCGTACACTGCAAAAAAAGCTTCCAATCAGCTTTATTTTTAAACATTTTTGATTTTCACCAATTGAATAAATACTGTGGCATGAAATATTTATAAATAATATACGTTTACGCATAGGCCTTATGCACGAACAAGTACGCAACCTTCTTTTTTTTACCTGGAACACACCTATGTCGGCCTTTTGGGGCCCTTTAGGGTATACGCAGCGACGGTGTGCCGCGCTGTAAAGTATGCTACAATTCGCACACTATCGCATTAAATTGTTGTTGCGAGCTGAGCAAGGCTCAAGTGGGCTTTTGTTTTGTTTAAATAAAACTGTGTCGCTACAATGGCAAAGCAAGTGTTTTTGTTTTGATTATCCACGCCCAGAGCACACACACACGCACACACTTGTCCAGAGCCACAATAGATGATGATAGCTGTCTGATTGCGAGATATGTGTGCACACACACACATGTATATACTTCCTGGTATCTGTGTGACACACATAAAAAACATTCTGAGCCACTAAGCTATTGTTGAAGTTTATCTTTGCATTGCCAAATGATGGCAGCTTGGCTTTTGTTATTGCTCGCTCGCATTTTATTTATTTTACGACTTGCTGTTGTTGCGCCTGTTTCCGCTTGGCAATTGACATTGACGTTAGCAGCAGGTAGCTTAAAATGAAATAAATTTTGACAATCGCATTGCTCATCAGCGTAATTCCACCATTCATATTTAATGATGCTTTTAGCTACAATTTTCTACCCGATCTGCAATCAGCTGAATAAATCAAATGGTTTTGTAGTTTAACTTTAGGCAATTAAAGGTTCCGATTTAATTGAATATATTGAATATATATATTTAAAATGAAAGCATGCAAAGATTTGCTATTTGTATTATTAATGCTAAGAACCTTTAGATTTAGATTAAAGACGAATATATATATTAATAAATAAATCCTACCCTCTCAGAATTGTATTATGTTTTTGGTAAATTGATATGCGCTCCGCTATAAATTGTAACATTTCAATTAAAAATGATGGTTATAGCCAAAAGCCACAAAAGCCAAAAAAAAAAAATGAAGAATACAACCTGAAGGCAGATCGGGCTCCGATGGCCTGTCTGACCGGACAACGCCCAAAAGCATGCTAAGCAAATTGATACAAAATGAAACAGCTTTGTGTGCGTGGGTGTGCGGGGGTGTGCGTGTGTTGACTTTTTTCGATTTGTATTGAAATCATTAGAGCGCAGCCGAACAAAAAAAAAAAAAACAAAATAAGAATGAAAAGAAAGCAACGAAAGTTGGAGACCAAGTCGAATAATTTGGCTGGCCAAAAAAGGGGCAGCGGGGTGGGGTCAGGGGGAGTGGGAGGGGGGGCTTGAATGTCTGACGAGCAAACAAACGAGCGACTGACGCCTATTAATCATGCAGACTTTACGTACCATTAAGCACGAATATTTCAACAGGCCGAAAGGCGTTTCGACTTTCTGGTATATCATTGCGGCATGATATGAGAGTTCCCACGGGCCGAAACCTCGCCTAAACGAACCTGTGGTCAGTAATGAGTTGGGCGACTAGAGTGTACCCTGTACACACTTTCTCTCTGTAGAGAGCGACCCTTGCCTGGCGGCTGTCAAAAAGGTTCAAAGTGTAAGCAATACCAGGCAAGAAGAAGAGCAACAGCAACACCCAAACAAAAACTGAACCCGAATTCAAAACCCAGCGAACACAAACAAAGTAACTGGCCGCATTTTGCCCATTTGGCAGCCTAATGGCAAAAATATTGTATTACAACAATTTGTGCAGCTAACCCGAACTCACGTCC